AGGTGGGTTCTCCGGCGTGGATATGTACGAGATTACGAGGCTCGGCATAATCTCCCCCTTTGCAGGGATGTGTTGGATATGTTGGAGGGCGCACAGGTAAATGTGTACCTAAACTTACTTAGTATAGCTTCACATGTGTTTCACATACTCACGTTTTCTGTTGTTATTTGATAGTTCATCTCTACACCATATAACGACGACTTGATAGGTGGCCTGCCCGATTATTACTTGGCCGACCGACTGATTTGGAGCACTTTCGTCCCGCTGATGTGCCTCGATATTGTAGAGCATCATGCCACAGAGCGGGTACTTGGCCAGTTTGGCCGTCCGCAGTATATACCGAGGGGGCCTACATGGGAGGCCACACATTATCAGCGGGATGATCGTTCCAGGCAGACAACGCATATGTAGCATGGCTAGAGGCGCAGGTCCATACTTGGGACCGACGAGCTGACCTGATTCCGCTCCCCCTTCACAGATCCAGACGGAGACTATTCAGCTCTATATGCCCTGGTACCGCCGCGTTACCTGACTTTTTGTCGGGAATCCCATTCATCAAACGATACTTGGGACTCGTACACTCTTGGTCTAATGGGGGGTGGAGCATACTCCCTCGTCAAATCAGGTCCTTCATTCTCTTCCTCCTCATCACCATCCTCACGAGGGGAGGGTGTGTCGTCTCCGGAATCATCGACATTGTTGTCATAATCACTGTTCTCTTCCTTACTCCGTGCATTTGCCAGATCCCGATTTAATATGTCGTCTTCGGGCAATTGAGTGAGGACAGGTGATTCAACTTGCTCGTTTTCATTGCACAAACAACAAAATAATAAGCTACTGAAATTAATAAATACTTTTCATATAGCTGTATCACTTTACTTACAAGTCGTAACGTGTTGACATTCCTTGATGGACATTATCCTGTTGGTGATGACTCCCGGATGGACCACCATGATCCAACACATGAGAACTACGCATATTCCAATTGGGTGTGGGTTCATAACTTGTAAAAGTCATATCTGGCTGGTACCCCTTGTGGAATATATGAGTGTTAATACAAATTCAATACAACCAAAATATACATCGTAACACTAAGGAAAATTGAAGTTTACCACTCGTTTTGTAGATTATGTAAAGCAGGAGAGAAATTATTTCCTTGTTCCTCATTCGCCCGTGGTGATAAATTTAAATCAGGGCAAACTCTTTCATCCGGAAACCTTTCCTGTAAAAATTGCTCCAGAATAACCACCCGATGACTGAGGGTTATTCCTACTATGCGCAACCTCATTATTGCGAACGTCTTCGACCTTGATGTACATTTCCAACATTTTTATCACAAGAAATTTTCGGTATTCATCCGGAGTCCTCAAAAAATCCCTCAAAGTTTCATCATCGTCGATGTTAAACTCAGCGTAAGAAGCAACCCCTTGCGGAGTGATGGAATACGGATATCTTTCGGTTACTTTAAGGTTCACCGAACGTTTCCTCACACTCATTTTATTACATAACAACGATACCAATCTATCGTACTCTATTGTGAGTGGCAACTTAACATGACAGTGTGGAGATAAACTATAGCTCACAGAGTTATTCGCCATCACAACCTCATCCCCCCTCCCCAATATAATAAAACCCTTACTTTTCGCTCTTCAGTCATTATGAAAAAATGCTTGAGAATTTAACAAGAAGAAAAATTTGAACGAGAGTTAGGAATATTTTTGAATGGATTTTTGTAAAATCCTAACGCCTTTAAATAAGGCAATGCCTAGCTCGGTGGGCTGATTTTTTTTTTAGGTATAGTGCTCTTTTAAAGAGCGCTATACTCATTTGAATTATTGTTATGTCAGCTAAACGCAAGAGACTTATTAGTGGGCTCACAAAACAGGTATAGCGCGGTTATATACCGCGCTATGCATAGCTGTATATCGCGGTTTACAGTGGCGTTATATATATATAGCGCTCTTTTAAAGAGCGCTATACTTTAACGGCCAAAACTCCGTTAAAGTATAGCGCTCTTTAAAAGAGCGCTATATATAGAAATGTCACTCTTTTTTTTAAACACACATTTCCGTCACACTCCACAATTATACAGTAATTTCTTTTTTTTTAAAATTATTATACACTAATTAAAATATTAAAAGAAGTGACCAGTACTAATCTGCTAGCCGCTTGTGTGTGGAATGGGTCAAACAATACAGTTGCATGGTCAAGAAGGAAACCTTATATATATCCCAGAAGACCAACTACTTCCTTTTTCTTTTATCAAACAATCTATAAATATATACAAGAAGGAAAGAAGAAAAAAGAATATCTTATTAAATGGTCCAAAACATGTACTAATAATTAAGCTAAATCAAATTCTTGGTAGGTAAAAAGAGAAGTTTATTAAGGTATATACTCTCTCTATTAGTACTCTTTCCGGTTCACTTTAATTGATTTTTTTGCATTTTATTTGTGGTCCACAATATTTGATTTTTTCAGATATCAATAAGTAATATATTAATTTTTTTTTTCCAAAGTTACCTTTGGAGTAAAGAATCTAAGTATATTTGTTATGTTTTCAATAAATAAATTAAGATTAATATGGTCAATATTCATCGCTGAATTCCTTAAGATGTGTAAAAACAGCCAATAAATCAAATAAAGTAGATCGGAGGGAGTAATATTTTAGTAACAAAAAATAATAGAAGTCTTACGCTCATGATGATATATGAGGCACAATATTGGATGAAGCGTCCCCTCTTCAGCCGAGCACAATTGTGCTTGCATGTGAGTTTATTTTTCTAATTAGAAACCTAATTACACTTTCGCTTTCATAATCATATTCATAAGCCCACAAGCCATGGCCAAACTTCTCTTCTAATCTCATTCTCCGCCAATCCTTTCTTGATTTATACGTTTATGATTAGTAACTAATTGAGGTATCAGAATATACATTTGATCAATGAAGCTTCAGATTTGAGTGTTCAAACCTTTCATATAAAAAAGAAAGGTGTAAGACTACCTTTTTTTTCTTTTTTTTCTTTTCTTTTAGTACTTTATTGTAATACTCATATATAATTAGTTATATATGCATGTGATTTTCTACATATCCCTTTGACTGTTATTAAGCAAGTAGGAGTATTTGATATCTTTATGACCCACATCGACTTTGGCTTTGAATATTTAATATTAAGTTCCATGCCCCAATATTAATTCCTTCTTTCCATGATTGTTCAAATTGCCTAACTAATTTTTGTTAATAATCATAGTGTAAGCGTGTACTTCATTCTATTGTCATCATTCCATTAACTTCTTTAGATACGTTTCTTTTAATAATTGTTACTTAATATATAAACCAAATCTTAGCTTGAAAATGCTGGAGAATATTTCTTCTGTACTAGAGTATCTGGTTGATGCAACTATACTATTATAATTGGATCTTTTTTCGTGATTAATTAATAGAATTCTTGAATGCACTAAGTTGATGTATTATCACATTATATGGTTGACGGCAGATATTGATTCGATATGCACATTGAGGGATCTCTATAGGAAATGGACAAGTTGTGTAGCATTCCTCACCCAAAACCACATACCTATTTTATTATTTATGGCTTTAGCCAAACAAACTTGATCTGATATTAAAATTATGTATCGCTTTCAGAAATCAAAATGGCATATATTAAATTTTTACAAATTCTCCCTTATAGTTAGTTATTAAATAATTCTTATTCAACGTGCCAAAACCTTAAACGACAATTAATTTTTTTGGAGGGGATACTTTCTTGTTTTTTCTTTTTTGGGATTTTTTTGGTTCTTTTAACTCCAATTGTGTGAGCATTCTTTTTCTTTTACCCCCATCGATCCATAAGGATCAGTAACTCCGAGTTCCTAAGTGTATTGTAAATTGTAATTAGTTTTTTCAATTACCTTTAATGTGGAACTCCCAAATTAGTAGAGGCAACTAGCCGACTTGGCAAATTTCACTTGTCGAAAACTTTATTATTTTGGGTTCTTTCTTTGGCTGTTTTAATTAATGCAATCCTTGAGATAGTATAGCGACTCTCTATAATGGAAGGTTGAAATATTGATACAAAATCCATTTCATCTAATTTTTTTCTTTTTCCACACTATGACTTCAAAGTCCAGTTTCCACCCACAAGGGTTGTGGTGAAGTCGCCTTTATTAGGGAGCGCTTTACCCCAATGTGGGATTTTCCGACGCGAATCCGGATTTAGTTGGGCCCCAAGGTAGGTACCGGACACCGGATGGGAAACCAAAAAAAAAAAAAGGTCCAGTTTCCTAGTCAGGTATCGTCGAATTATTAGTAGTAAGTCTAAACGACTAACAAATTCAATACGACGTGGAAATAGGGACCCTCTTACTCGTGGCTCAAGAAATTGACTCAGAATATTTTAATGCACTCAAGAATCAAGATCATTTGTGTAAACTCAAATCCCCTTTTGCAGTTGTTAGGATTTTGTCCCTTGGAGCTGATTTGCTTAAAGTTTCAAGTCTAACAGTCTTCTGACTCGATGCGCCACCTTTAATAGGAGGCAATGTTCTGCTTTTGTCCATTTCCACATCTTTAATGGAAAGCCGAGTCTCCACTATAGTGACAAGAGTGGGTTGCTCTAGTGGTTAGCACCCTTCACTTACAACCAAGAGGTTGTGAGTTCGAGTTACCCAAGAGCAAGGTAGGGAGTTCTTGGAGGGAGGGAGTCGAGAGCAAGATGGGGAGTTCTTGGAGGGAGGGAGTCGAGGGTCTATTGAAAACAGCCTCTCTACCCCAGGTAGGGGTAAGGTCTGTGTACACACTACCCTACCCAGACCCCACTAGTGGGATTATACTGGGTTGTTGTTGTTGTTGTTGCCTTATGCACCGTGCTGATTTAGGATTTTCTGAATTAGCCATTTTCTTCAAGACTGGCATTCCATTTGATGTTGTTACCTTTAACACCCTAATAAGGGGACNATTGTTGTTGTTGTATAGAATAAAGACAATAACAACTCTATGATGTCTTCTAAACAGTGAAAATTCATAGTTGAAGCCTGCAAATGTATTTACAAAGTTTCTGTTGAAAAACCAAAGATTTCGAGATAGAGATCTGGCATTTTGATTCATTGTTCAAGCAAATTCATTACTTCAGCACCTTCTCACATTTAGAAAATGAAAAAAAGATGAAAATCCAACCTGAATATTAAGTTTTTCATCCACGCCCACGAGTACTGAAGTTCGTCAAGAGTCGGAAACTACAAAACTGGGATGGACTTGGCTCGAATAAAGTGCTTGAGAACGGCTTTCTCCTCGTCAATTCGCCTTTTCTCCTCGTGATCTTTTGGCTCAACTCTTCTCTTTTCTTCCAACATCCACTTAAATAGTTCACGCTGTTGATTCTCAGGTATTGGCTCACGTACAATCACAGGCAGCACAGGAGGTGGAGTAGCGACTTCTTTAGTGACTTCATTTTCTTTTTCACTAACTGCCGTGGCAGCTGCTGTTGAAGCAGCGCTAGGAACATATGGCATTTTTCCTTCCTCGGTTCCCACATCTTTCTTCTTTGTCCTCATGAAAAGGTAAGCTACACAAATTGCAAAAATAGATGAAGCACCACTAGGTAAAAGCAAGTGGCAGAGTTCTAAAAAAGAGAACTGGAAAGACCTGCAGCATATAGCTGTACAGGTACCACAAGGTTGTGAACATGAAAAGACAGAAGAAACATTACAGATAACAAGGTAACTTGGAAATAAGAGACAGTAAGAGAAGCAATGAACGTTAACTTGTTGAAACAAATAACCAGGAACATAAATTTTCGCTTCTTCTTTCTGGTCACAATTAGAGCGCAAGACCATTTCACACAGCCAAATTAATCAAATGTTCATCACAAACAAATATACAGCTCATCTTGGAATTAAATGTCAGAAATATCTCATCTTACAGTCACATGTATATACTAAAGATATATAGTGCAAGCACACAAAGGACTTCCACTTGCAGCCAACCAAATTACAAGTGGGAATCAAGAATGTGCTTTAACAAAGTTTGATGGACTCAATCAATACTACTTGCTTCTTAATTATAACTGTCCTTGCTGAAACTAGTTTAACAAAGATACAGATCAGTTTTAAATGTATAACCATGTTGCTTAAAGCACAGTTGTACAAGTGGACCATTTAGTATGGCTATGGTTCCTTTTACAATGATGTACCTCTTTTGAGGATTTCCATCACTGGTAATTTAAGCTTTTCATAAGTTCTTATCACAATTTTGAAACAATCCCCTACTTTGACAAAAAATAATCTGCACCAGATTTGGATTGTCCAACAATTTATATTCAATCCTCATGAATAAGATGGATTAAACCATCTACGTTTTAATCAGCTGGGTTAAACTATTCAAGACAGTCGTGTTTGAATCAAGATCGTCAAACCCCATCGACCCTGCAACGTTATATCAGCACTGTAACAGAATAAAAATAATCATCCACAACAGGCAACAACTCCTCCATAATGATGGCAACGAACATGGTGCATGAACTCTTCAGTAAGTTTTCTCTTGTCTATGGGGAAGCACAAAATTAAGAGGGATTACATTCCAGAGAAGAGACAAAATACAAAAGCTTACAGGAGAATTGCCGTGTATTTTTCACTGTTATTGCAGTTTCTCGACCGTATAATGTACAATCATTCTTGGGTAGTATTTCAGTATTTCGTGCAGACGGATAAAGGTGAAGGCTTTTTAACTAAAGGTGGTCGCATTACTGGTCGTACATATCAGTCAGGTCAGTTTTGAACTTTTTTGGTTTAGGCCTCTAAATGAATCACACCATTCAAAATTCAGAACACCATTATATGGTGGCTTGAGAAGAAATTATTTATACCACCAAAGGGCCGGGTGGGATGGTCGGGATCCCTCCACTCTTAACTAGAGATCTCAGGTTCGAGCCTTGAAAATGGAGAACTTCTTGATAGAGAGCACGTCACCCCCTTAGTATGCCTACCTGGCACGAATCTAGATTAGTTAGGTTAGTGAGTTCCGAATACGGGATGGTTAAACAAAAATAGGGCAAGAAAATGTATATTGTTTGCACTATGTGGAGTCAGGAACATTGTGATTATTAAGCTGAATAAATTACAACAATCTTAAAACTATCGAATCCGAAAAGAGGAAATCTTGTTTGCTGACGTATAACAAGAACCAAAATGAAGACAAAGCCAACCAATTTAGAACAATAGAGCAAGAAGGGCTAAAGGAAAGACAGGAAAACAACCAGATACTTCAAGGACAAAAGGAGGATTCTCCCATTTCTATATTATCTCCAAAATCAGTACAACCCCTTAATCTTAGACATAGTTACTTCGTTTCATTAAGTTACCTAGTCAAAGCTTCTTACCCTCCTATGTCTAGCATGACTTTTCATCAAATGCAAATAAAGCTGCACTAAAATTCTCACCTCTTATACATTGATGAATATGACTATATGAGATATAAGCTACTCAGATTGAATTACAAAAAGAGAACAGTTAAAGACTGAGAAATTTGCCTACTAACATAATAAAAAGCTTGAATCTTTCTTTTAGAAAGCAAGTACCTGATTGCGTTTTTTACTGTGGATTTTTAAATACAGCATAACATCACAATAGTGGACTTAAAAATAAATTAAAACATATAAAGCAGATCCATAAAAGTGCGATCAGAAATGCAAATCAAAGACTTTGGAACTTTATATTGAAATTAAGGAGCATTGGGCAGAGATGGCAGTACTGGTAAAAAGTGAAGAGCAAAAGAGGAACCTCCAATAGAGAAATTGACAGCCAATAGCATAGGCCAGAGGTACTTGTAACGACGGACGAAAGATTCCTTAGGCGGCTGAGGTGGTGGAGCCGCACTGCGCGCAGATGCTGATGACGCCATCGACGACGACGAAGACGGCGGCGGCGCCGGCGGTGGTGGAGAAGATGGCTGTTGTTGCTTCAGTTGCGCTGTAAATCAGAATATAAAACGGATATTAATAATTGAAATGTCGCTCTCCGAATGATTATTATTGGGATAATATAGTGATTACCTTTTTTAGGTTTGTTGACGTATAATTTTGGAGACACGCCCATTATTTGCTACAGCTTCCTTTCTTTCTAACCTTTCCTCTTTACTCAGGTGGAATTGGCTATCGACCATTACACTGTTTACAGTCTTCACTCTTCAGTCGTCGCCCGTCGGCGTTTCTTCTCCCTTGTTGAGGCATATTACCGCAGTCACACAGGACGATGTCGTTTTAGCTAAATAATTAGTTTCCCTTAAAACAAATAGACAAAATAATTAATTAAATTATGCGCCTGGTAAAGATCCCATGCAAAAAATCAAAATAGTCCACTATCCTTGAGCTTCACTTAAAATGATACAACTTTTTTCACATAATAGTCCACAATATTATCTATTACTCCTCCGTTCCAGTTTATATGAACCTATTTTCTTTTTGGTCCGTTCCAAAAAGAATGATCCTTTTTTTAAATTTAAAAATAATTTAGCTTAAACTTACAATTCTAGCATTAATGCGAAATTTTTATAACCACACAAATACTCTGGAGCCCTTTTTGATTTGTTTAGGACCACAAATTTCAAAAGTCTTCATTTTTTCTTAAACTCCATGCCCAGTCAAACAGATTCGCATAAATTGGAAGGGGGGAGTAGCTTTCACTTAAAATGATCCTATTTCTTTCATATGTAACACTAATAGTCTACTATATTCTCTAATAGTATACATCTAAGGAGGAAAAGACCAAAACAATATATCATCTTTGGCTTTAGAATCAAAGTCATACATATTCTTTCACATGGAGCACTAATAGTACATTTACTTTAACAAAGTGGTACACTTTTAGTCATAACACTGAAAAAACCCAAAAACATACATTATATTTGGCTTTAGACTCAAAGTCATACATATTCTTACACATGAAGCACTAATAGTCTATTTACTTTAACAAAGTGGTGCACTTTTAGTCATAACACTAAACACATTTTATTTTTTAACAGAAATCTAAGATCTGAAAAAATATATGTTCCCTTTATTTTCTTGTTTACCGAAAGAAATAAAGATGACAGATTTATCTAGATAGCAAATAGTAAATATACATAGAATTTATTTACTATTTATCTATTTACTATACGTAAAATATACATTTTACTAAGAAATGTTAAACACCGTTAATTTTTATTTCCAATAATTTTTATCTAGATAACCTCAAATGGTATCTAGATTTTTTATTATATACATAATATTTACTATATGTTGACATAAAATAAATATACGTAAAATTATTACTGAGAATAAAATAAATTTTATTATTAAAATAAATATACGTAATATATATTTATTAGATTTTTTTATTTTATGGGAGTCAGCGTATAGTAAATATACATAAAATAAAAATAAATATTATGTTTACTATACGCTGACTACCATAAAATAAAAAAATCTAATAAATATATATTACGTATATTTATTTTATGTCAACGTATAGTAAATATTATGTATATAATAAAAAATCTAGATACCATTTCAGATTATCTAGATAAAAATCATTGCAAATAAAAATTAACGGTGTTTAACATATCTTAGTAAAATGTATATTTTACGTATAGTAAATAAATAAACAATAAATAAATTCTATGTATATTTACTATTTACTATCTAGATAAATCTGTCATTTTATTTCTTTCGGTAAACAAGAAAATAAAGGGAACAGATAATTTGTCAAATCTTAGATATCTGTTAAAAATTAAAGTGTGTTTAGTGTTATGACTAAAAGTACACCACTTTGTTAAAGTAAATGGACTATTAGTACTCCATGTGGAAGAATATGTATGACTTTGAGTCTAAAGCCAAAGATAATGTATTTTTTTGGGCTTTTTTCAGTGTTATGACTAAAAGAGCACTACTTTATTAAAGTAAATATACTATTAGTGCTCCATGTGAAAGAATATGTATGACTTTGCATCTAAAGCCAAAGATCATGTATGGTTTTGGGCTTTTCCTCTACATCTAAGTATCTAACAAGGTTAAAAGACTTTTGAAAAGCATATAACATAATGTAAACTTAGTAAAATGTTCAAAGCATATTCCCACCTAACTAGTATTGTCTATATAGATCTTTTTATTAAACCTGACTATATATTTTGCTTAGTTTATATGAATATTAAAAGTTATTAGGCACCTATGAACCAATACATATTGAGGTTGGCGCATCGTAGACAGGGCCGGCTCTAACAGTATATGGAGTAAGGCAAGTGTCTTAGGCCCCCACTTTTGGGGGGCTCCATTTTCTAGGAATAATATATATATATATATNTACAAGCCAACAATTAGATATTTTGGAATCAAAGTCTTCAAACTTCTTGAATCAGGGTAATATCATTCTAACTTTCTAGTATTATTTTAATTTATTATTTTATTAATTTTACTCCATACATATTATTTTATTTTTTTTAGAATATAAATATGTCAACAAGAAAATATGAATCTGGTTATTCAAAAATCTAAAAGAAAAGAAAAGTTGAAAATTTAATAAAATCTCAAAAGGGAGCTCTTGACAATTTTTTGACAAAAAATGAAAAAACTAAATCCCAAAATGGAGGAGAATGTTCTGTAGATGAACAAGTCACTGACTTAGTTAAGTCAAATGATAACAAAAATGATTGCAGAATATTAAGAGTAAATAATAATAATTAAAAAAAATTAAGACCTCACTTTTTATTTTCGCCTTAGGCCCCATATTATGTCGAGCCGCCCCTGACAGTAGAACATGACAGAATAGTCCTGAGCGGCCTTTGTTTTAAAATATCTTTGTTATTGTTATGTGTTACTTATAAATTTTGAGAATGTGATTTAATCTTGTATAATGCATATTTATCTTAACATTAACGTCGATTCGATATTTATTTTCTGGATGTGTCGGACTTCAATGGACCATCATTTACTTCCACCTCGTTCTCCACCTTTACTATCCAAATTACAATTTATCCTCTTTGCTTGATTACACATTTAACCTTTGGTGACTCGAGCATCATTAACTATCGAATGCGAATACTTCAAATCTCAATCATGTGTAAAAAGCAAATTGTACGACCAAAAGTTATAGTTAGTGATACCAACAGGAATCTTAAAGAAAATAGGTGGGGAGTCTATTTCCATCTTTACTTTCCCCTTCTTTCTCTTTTTTTAATTCCCTAATGTAATTTGGAAAAGAAAAGAATAGAAGAGCAAACTGTAACCTAATGAAGTTAAGTGAATTATTTTTACAACTGCAACAAGTAAGAGGGTTAGTTCTTAGAATTAACATTCTAACAAGCACTCCGTTATTAAAAGGGGTCAAAATACCGCGGAATACAATTATCCGTTGCCAAACTTTTCCCGTAGAGTAGCTGAAGTATTAAATTCCAATGGCGATTTTTCTTCCTCTTCTCTCCATATCCCCAAAGGTAATGGCTTCCTCCGTCGACACAAGCCAAAGACTCCCCTATACCCCCCACCGTACTCCTCCCAAGAAACCCCTAACCTCTGATTCAACTCTATCCTTTTCCCCTTCCACCACCCGGTCCAATATTTCGGTTTCGGACCTTCTTAAACGTGAAATTCCTAAACCAACCCAAGGTACTTTTTTTTTTTTTTTTTTTTTTTTTTTTTTTTTTTTTTTTTTTCCTTTTGTGCATTTTTTTATATGTTACTTTGTATAATTGTATTTGTCCATATTGATTTTGTTTATGTTATTTTTTTCATGTAACTAGTGAAGGAGGATGAAACCTATATGGGGTACGACATATGGCTACCAAGTGCACCCAAAGTTGAGAAGGCTCGTTCGGTGTTTAATGCAGCCTCACTTGCTTACATTGGAGATTGCATCTTTGAGGTTTGTATTCACTATCTTACTTGTTGATTATATTCTCTCTTTTTTTTATATGTATAAAGTTTCTTGGATAATTAGCTCATCAATAAAATTCTTGATAACTTTTTGCATTAATATAGGATACAGAATTAAGTTCGACATGTACTATTAGGTCCAGTAGCTATATATATGCCACTCATGAGACAAGTTCAAAAATGTTTTACAAAATGAGAAACAGCATCCAAGATGGGCGGAGGCAGATCTATGATTTCTACAACGTGGGTGCACCACTAAAGAAAGGAGTAAAAAAATGATTTAGTGGGAATTGATCCCTCTTACTTTAGGAAAATAACTTAGCATTCAACCAAGTACACCATTTAGACTTTTTGGAACGTAGGTGCTAGCAAACAATATTAGATCAGTTCTAGGAAATATGTATGGGTTCACGTGCACCATAACTTGGGGAAAACCAGCTATATCCTATCTTGGTTGGACTTTCGCCTAAATCTGCCCCTAAAGATGAACAAACTTAGGTTGAACGTTCGTCTCCGATATTTGGCATTAGCAAAAACCCCTCTCCCAGCTAACTCTAAACAAACAAAACAACTACTCCTCGATCTAAAGCAAGTTGAGGTTGGCTATATGAATCTTAACTGACAATGTCGTTCCCTTTAAGCTTATCTCGAACCAATAACATACAAAGTCTCCCAACTAAGTCTATTTTTGTTTTTTTAAATCTTCCACTATGAATTTTATACATTTCCCCTTTTTTGGGTCATATGGTAGAAGATTTAAAAGGATGGTGAAGCTTAGGATTGTCCAACTCCACATTACAGGAAACGCTAGAAATTCTCTTCCTTAGTGCATTTCGAGATCTGAAATTCTAAGCTTGACACATGCTAGTAGGCTCTGCCAAATTGGAGGCAGGGATTGAACTTACTGTTTTGGTGCATATAAACAAAAAGTCCAAGCCTTTCCTTTTGTAGTTGAAAGCTGGAACAAGTACTTTATTGCAAAGCCCAATTTCAAAATATACTTTGTCCCAAAAATAATGTCTCACAATCCTAGTCTGCTTTCTTGTCGTCCAAAAAATGTCCTTGCTTACCTTATCTAAAAAGAAAATAAATAAAAGAGAAATACTTGCTTTCTCAGATGAATTTTCAGTTTGCTTTTTTAATACTGTATCTAAGGATAATATTCATAAGGTAAGATGTCAAGCAAAACACTCTGCTCGAAAAATAATTCCCAAACTGACAATCTTCTCAAACTGAATCCTAACATCTTAATTTAATAACAACTCAATTCCGAACTAATACTTTATTTATCACCTGTGAATGCCATATTTGATTCTTTTAAAACTAGAAGCTACAATATCAAAATTTAAAATTCAATTTGGGATGCAACTTTTGAATTGTATATCTAATCTTGTTGCACCTTTTGACTGTGCAGCTATATGCAAGAAGGCATTTTTTGTTGCCACCATTGAGCATCGAAGAGTACAATGATCGAGTCATGGCAGTAGTACGTTGCGAGGCACAAGTATGACTCTCTCACAAGTCTTAAGGCCTTATGAAGATTCATTCTAGATTATTGATGTATGCTTCCCATGATTATCTTGTATAATGTCTCCCTCAAGAGACAAATCCGTGCTAAGAGTACTTATTTGCTGTCTCCAATAGGAGACAAATATGGACTAGGAACATCTTGATTATACTTTTTATCCTCTTTATGGACTTATAAGGGGATCAAGACTCTTGAAGTTTGGCTTCCCTCCCACGAGAACAAAAGGCATTGAGATGATTGTACTGCATAATGATGTAAATCTTCCGCAACTAATTACATGCTTTGAGATGTTAAAAAGAAAAGATACTAGGAATGATTTTACTGCATAATATGTGAAATATTTCGTATTTGCTTGCATGACAACTGTGTATACATGCTTTGAGATGTTAATAATTCACTCTTTCAGCTGCACAGTTGTTTTAAGATAACCTTTTTTTAACTCAATTAGCTTAGGTTTTTTCTTGAGAAATGTTCCTTTTGATTGGTATTTGAGAAGGTGCTGAATACAGAAGGATTCAAGTACTTCTTTTCCCGCCTTATACTTTTTTCCTTTAAGATCTTGGTGTTATGTGATGATACTTTATTGAATATGCATGGTACTTTTCTTTTTCATGTCAACTTCTTCATAAGGTGGAACTGTTGAGTTTTTGTGCACATTGCAGGATGCTATGTTGCAGAAACTTATAAACGGCAATATTTTGTCAGAAGAAGAAAGGTAGATATTTACATTTGAGCTGGGCTTTTTCCTTTTGGATGTTCATATGAGATTACATGTTAACTAATCCTCATCTTTGGAATTTGTGGGATTCTCAAATCTTTGTTGTGCTAACAGCTTTATACTTTATAAAATAGAGCAACTTTCTCCTTCCTCAAACAAACCAAATTAGCTTTTCATATTACAATTATTCATGAAGTCAAGGATTTCATTCATTGTAGATTCCTATCTTGTTTATACTCAAGCCATCTTCCTGCATTGCCACACCCTTCTAAAATGCCTCTTGCAGAACGTATTTTATGGCCTACAACTGTTTGAAAAATTAGTTTGTGCCAAAAAGATGATAAACACGGGTTACACAAGCGATTTGTTTGTTGAAGCAGGATCACTTAGGCTGAGATGAGATGGTTCTTCTAATAAAATCCAACTCAGGAGGAGAGTAGTTATATCAATGTTTCACCGCCATAACTCAGTTGTTGTTTGACAAATTTATGGTTTAACTCTATTCTCAACCGAGTTCAGAGTTCCATTTTTTCTTCTCCAACTCAACTAATGGATTGATTAGGAAGGATATGGTAACAGATTAAGAGGAATAGGAAAACATACAAGTTCCCAAATCGTTAATTATGAATCTCCTGCACTTCTCTTTCCAATTTTTTCATGATGTCATTAGCCTCTTCCATTACATCAAATTCATAAATCTATGCTTATCGAAACTTAAATGTTGGTTTTGTAGATGATAGTTTTTGGGGAAGACTGTTAGGATTCTAAATTGAGATGTCTCTACCCTTGAAGGGGTCGTTCGGTTCAAAACCAGATTATCTCAGGATTATAATCCTGGGATTCTAACCAGGATAGATAATCCCATGATTTTGGTATAAGTTTTATTCTAGTTTTAGCTAATATTCACAACCAAATATTGGACAAATTTAAACCCAAATTTTATCCATAATCCGTGTAACCAAACGGCCTCTAAATGTATTGTTTAATTTCTCCCCGTTAAACTACAAAAGAAGTATTACTTGTAAAGCAAAGAAAAAAATCCTCATGTTTATCATGTGATTTTGACCGTGTGTATGTGTTTCCATGTTGAAGGGGTGTGCTTCGTTGGGGGAAAAATATTGTTTCAGGCAAAACTCGGACGAAAAAGCGTGCCGGTGTGGCTGTTTACAACCGAGCTTCTTCACTTGAAACACTTGTCAGTTTTTTCAACCCTATTTTTAAGAATAGCGAATTAACTGCTTTATCTGTGTTTTCATCTGTCATGTGCTGTTTATTAGAGTCAATCAAATATTTTCCTTTTTCGGTAGTTTGGAAGCTAATGAAATTTTTTATGAAGTGCATATGATTTTTTCACTTACCAAATTGATTTTTCTAGTATTCTCTCTTGTAGGTTGGTTATCTTTACCTTACAAATGTGCAAAGGCTAGACGTAATCATGCTGAAGTTGGGCTTCTGTACAGGTGACTCTAACCTGCCAATTGTGGAGAAAATAGATGGTAAGCTGTTTCTGTGACTCTAAATTATTGCTGGCAATTAAGACTCACTTTTCAATCACCCGCCCAAACCGCTGATATTTAAGCGGGTTGGTTGAATGATATTTGAAAATGGGTTGAATATGGGTTGAGCCAATATTTAACCGGTGACAAATTGGGTTTTGATGGGTTTATTGTGACAATATGGGTTCCGCATGGTGGGTTGGTGAGTTTGGTTGGGTTTTGCTCAGTCCCCGCATTCTCTTAGGGACAGTCGCCTTACTCCATCAGACAAGTGGAAAGGTCTGTGCTTCATTCTCTTCTCTACCTTGATTGGTAATATGGATATAGGGACATCGCATATGTTTACTTCTGATGACCATTGTCTTGTATTCATGCGGATGATGATAGCTAACAACATTAAGAGTATTATTTACAAGCAGAAAATGACAGGGAATGCTTGAAGTTTGGAAGAACATTTTCGTTCTACTGACGCGTTAGTTGTTGCTACGCTACTGGCATAACTCACTACTATAAAGTTTAAGACTACTTGAGACTTAAGGTAGAACACTAGTAGGTAGTCGAGAGTGTTTCTTTCCCATACCAGTAGTATTAGTGTTAGTCTTGTATTTTATTATTGGTAGATTTCTACTACTACATGTTGTTCCTTTCGCTTCGTTTTCCTATTATCTTGTTGTTACTGTTTGTTACTACTGCTTTCTTTTCATCTTTTCTTGAGTCGAGGGTCTATCAGAAACAACCTCTCTACTGTCTAGGTAGGGGTAAGGTCTGCGTACATGCTACCCTCCCCAGACCCCACTTATGGGATTATATTGGGTTTGTTGTTGTTGTTATTGTTGTTGAGACCATGGGAATGAAGGTGGATGACTCTTTTTCGGTTAAATTTATTCTGAATTCGCTACCTTCTGAATATTGACATTTCCGAATGAACTATAATGCTATTAAAGACATGTAAAATATTAGTGAATTGTCCAGTATATTTACTCAAGAGGAGTCAATACTTAAGAATCGGTCAAAGAGCTGGTAAATATCTAAAGTGAAGGCCAACAAGTTTAAGTAGAAGAAAGCAATTTCACAGGATGCTAAGATGAAAAGTAAGGCATAAAAGTATCACTTTTATAATAAAGAACAGTATTTGAAAGATTGTATGAAACATAAAAGTATCACTTTCAAATTTAGGTTTTAATGATCTTGAATGTTTTGTTGCATCAAGAGAAAGCAAACCAAACATAATAAAACAGGTGCAGTAATAAGTAGCCAACTTCTTCAAACTATACACATTTGTATGTGCTTTGATGTTCCATCTTTTAGTGGAGAAAAATATTGTATCACCTTTTGTTGTTGATTTTTTACGTTATGGATAATGCCTATTTGTTGAAAAAAATCTCAAAGTGATGAATGGCTTTGGGTGATCTATGCAATTTAGTTCAATGGCTTGAAAATTTTCAAATTTGTTGAAAAATGGAAGAAGTGAGTCACGATTTTGTCCATGTCATCCCCCCCCCCTAAAGAAGAAATTTGTCAAATATTCTCCTTTTACTTTTACATTTTGTTTGCTAGCTTTTAAGCTTTGTTCCCGTGGAAGATGGTCCCCACCCCCACTTTCTTTCTATGACATTGAGAATGAGACGAGTTATGGGCCATGAGATAGACTCATATTTTCAACTTATACATGGCCCAATTTCAAGGGGCAGATGATATGTCCTTTTCCGTGAAGTAAGTTTATCACAGAATTGAAAGACTAGTTTATGTGTCTGCTTATCCAAAAAAAATTATATGCATTTGTTCATGTGGAACACTCGCTTCGCCCGATGACTCAAATTTTCAACTTATATGAGTCCAATTTCAAGGGGCATATGATACGTCTTTTTCCTTGAAGTAAGTTCATCACAGAATTGAGAGACTAGTTTATCCAAAAAAATAAAATAAAAATAAAAATAAAATAAAATATATATATATATATATATATATATATATATATATATATATATATGTGGAACACTAGATTGTGCCTTTTCATGTAATTTGCTGGTTGCTCTTTTATCCTCTTTTTCTACCCCCTGATGGTTGCAACAATTGAACTTTTGGAATTGGATAGATGGTGGAACTTTCTTTTGCCGTTGGTGAGTGCAGTCTGTTGTCTTACCATTTTCTATACCATAAAGGAAAGACATAGGAGTACATCAAAGCCTTTATAGGAATACTGGAACATATTATTAATCTATTATATGTGCAGGAAACTCGTTCTCACCATTTCTCTTTTCGGTAACATCTCTGCTCCGTTCCCTGAACAGTGTTATCAAAGGCGAAAAGCGCAAAAAAGCTCTAAGGTCTATTGGGGCTTTAAGCGCAAAGCGGAGATAAAGCATGGGCTTTAATGAAAAAAGGCGCAACTAGAGAAAAAGTAAAAATATGTATATGTAATCCAAAACCAATAATCATAAGCATAAATAACAAATATATGGACAAAGAAATTGAAAAAAATTTACGACAAAGTGAAATATCAATTGCTTAGTGTCGCCTTTTCAGGATCACATTCATTGGCAAGGAAAAGTATGCCTTAGAGCCTTGATGCGACATTGAAGCGCTCGCAAAGCTAGGCGAAGTGCTCAACCTGTTTTGAGCCTCGCTTCAGGGCTTAAGCGCGCGTTTGACAACACTGTCCCTGAACTGTTTAGTATTGCTTTTGCCTCACCTTTAATGTGTGAGTGTGGGATGTAATCTTATTTATTTTTACTGTAATACTTTCAAGTTTGACAAATATTGCATGTAATAGGTACAACAAGGTGATGTTGGTGGAAGTGATGAAGTTCATGAAGTGCAATTCAATATAAAAAGGACAGACATGTCCAATGGCATGCTGAAACAAATGAGAGCCTCAAAAACAACATTGTTCAGAAGGCTGTTATTACCTCTTCACTGCTTTCTCTTTTAAATATCTCAAGAGCTTGGATATGTGTGGGCTCATCGTATTTCAAAGCTTAGATAGAAAGAAAGAGGTCGTGTTGTTCTGAGATGGAAAAACATTCATACTGACAGCAGAGCTATGATTTCCTCCTTAATACTTCTGTAAACTATATGCATAGCTGAATGGGTTGAGGAATGTGTTAGATTTGCTCATTCGCAGTTGTTAACACGGGGATAAATTGTTCATGAACACGTTTTTGTAAGTAGCTATTTTTTGTAACAGGTCATTTTTCATGTAATACGTGTTAGTATTCGATTGAATTTTTGGAGGAGAATAAGTTGAGGTTTAATAGTTCTTTTAAGAGAAATGAGTCAGGGTGATGCAATACAGTTGTGGCTGCTCAGTTTCTTTGCTTGACAACAAAGAGAGTACTTCGTTTGCATTACCAAAAACCTACTTATATTGGTTTTGTAAAGTTTTTGCCTTAAAGTTTTAGTAGAAAATTGTCCCTCTGCAGTTTGACATTACCAAAATCAATGGCTTCCTGAGGCCTCCTTTTGATCTCTATTCTCCATTTGCTAATCATGAAATGAAGTTGCAATGCATGTAATAGAACTTTTGATGCCAGCAGACTGAATTCAATTTCCTATTTTGTTTTGCTACACTTTCTTGATCGCGATCAGGGGAGATATTGAGCAGTATTTCTCTGCAAGTTGTCCATTATTCGATGCCTCATATTGCAGAAGTGATCCTGAGATTTAAAGCTGAAAACCTTTTAAGGTTGGAACTCAGTCTACAATTTGAATTGGGGTGATGATGACTTGGTTCTAACATTGATCTTTTTTTTTTTTTAGTTCTGCATTTGCTACGTTAAAAAGTTAAGATAGGATAGTGGAGAATCAACTATTCTATCTAGAGACAAGAAAAGGATGAGAGCGTAAACAAAAGGAAATAGAAAAGCAGGAAAGTGTAAACAAAAGGAAAACCAACAAGTTGGCACAAATGGCTTAGCGAATTTTACATTTCTATACACTATTTCAATCTTTATTACCCCCTACTCAAATTTTAATATAATTATATATTATATACCCAGTTACCAATTATGTACATTTTTAGGCATTTAATGATAATAATTAGTGTCCTAAGATCACTCTAACGCCACTCCCCCACGTTTCTCTCTCCACAAACCTTCCGTATCTTGCACTCACCCACGTTTCTCTCTCCACAAACTTCAGTATCCTTCCATTAACGCCTATTTCCACTCTTCTTCAAAAATCCGTCTATATTTTATCCTTCTTCTTCAAAAATCCCTCTCCATTTTTATAGATTCAAGCTCTAAATACTCTACCACACACCTCCATTAACGTATGTTGCTTGCTTAACTTTCAATGAAGAAGAAAACACTTTCGAAGACCAGCCCTAATTCCAGTAAGAGAGCAGCAATTTCACCAATGACAGCCATTAAAAAGCTTGGAAGCTTTGAATTCGAATTTGGGTTTTTTAAAAACCTATTATTTGTTTGGATTGAGTATTGTTGCAAACAATTGGGAATATTGTTTGGAGTTTATATCTCATTTTTTAGGGTGTTTTGGTGAATATTAAACTTGATTTTGGTTGAATTTCAGATTGAAACTCGAAGAAGAAGAAGACATGACATACATTATACTTACGAAATTGTAGTAAAGTTGTAGTAAAATTATAGAAAAATTGTATTCTGTTATTTATATATATATATTTTTATTTAAATATTGTATGAAAGTTGAACAATATTGTATAAAAATTGTATTTAAGTTGTATGATATTGTAGTTGTATATAACTGGGTAGAAATAACATATGAAAGTTGTAGATAGGTTATATAATATATAATTAGTTGTATGAAATTTATTTTTACTATGTATAAATTAGATACAAAATATACAAAAGACATATTGTATAAAAATTATATTTTAGTTGTATGATATTGTAGTTATATTTAACTATGTAGAAATAATGTATGAAAATTGTAGATAAGTTGTAGATTAGTTGTGCTTTTACATTGTGCTTTTAAGCTCTTTGCCTAAACGTGTTAAAACTGTTTAAAACATTACTTAATTTCATGAAATACTTTGCAACTTAATTGAGATCGATTTCTCATAAAATGTAAACTTACCTATCTTCAGCATTACATGCCAGAAGGATTCCATCTAATTTTGCAGGAAAAAGTATAACCATTGTTGAGTATGATTTGTAAAATAATGCCCTCGAGATATATTCTATCCAACTAGGGCTGTCCTATTAATTATTACTCCTACCTAAAGAAAGTGAAAAGCATAGGATATAATTCTTTGAAAATGGGTGCCCTTCTAATTTTGTATTTTGAATAGCAACTTCAACAAGTTCTTAATTGGATAATAATTAAATAGACTTGATGGACAGGGAATAGAGTCTGATTCCCTTTTAAGGATTTAAATTAGAATTTTGGTTTTATCCTGAATCCTGATAAAAAGAACTTGTAAAAAGTTGTCCCCAAATATTAACCTAATCTTCCTGTTAATTATAGAGGAATTCTTACTAAATTCCAACGTAAAACTGAAGGGTTAAAAAGAAGAATAAGAATAAGAAAAAGGATCAGAAGAAATAACACAAAATTGTAAGTACTATTAAGACATGGTTACGTGATCAACCAGATGAAAGAGTTGTCCACTGACTTGATCACTAAATTGCTACAAGGGTGGAAGATCCGGAGAGAAAAGGGGAAAGAGGAAAGAAAAAAGGAAAAAAGTATAACTAAATCCATTGATTGAAGACACTAATAATGAATTGGGAGCCTTTTAAGGTGGAATGTATATATTTTGTAAATAAAACTTGTTTAGGTCGGGTAATTAACTAAACGTGGACATTTTTGATAATAAAATTTCATATAGTGTATAGAAAGGTAAAAATCCCTATACTTTTTTTCTTCTTAGTGGGCCGTTAGAAGGAAATTTTAGGAATAAATGCGGGAAAATGACATTGTACGCTTTCAAAATAATAGCGTAAAGAGAAATATTTTTTTGTTTATATATATATATAAATATAAATAATTTTTGGTGCGGGCTAAAAGTGATAATACAAATAAATGCTAGAAACGTCATTATCTAAGTACAACAATCGCCACCCTTTCCTTTAATTAATACTCTATTAGTTTAAATATTACAAATGTGTCAGTCCTTGGTTTTAAAACTAATGAGTCCTTTTTGTTTTAGTTTTTTTTATATTTTATTTTTGATAACATGCTCTTATAGTTATAATAATATTATAATATTTAAAATCACATGTTTTAAAAGCTTTTTTTCCTTAAATTTTGTGCCAAGGTACATAAATAAAATGAAATGGAGAAAGTAGTAGTAGATGATGTTTTATTTTCTTTTTTAAGGGAAAGGAAAAAATGGATTGCATGAAAGGAGATGTCAAACTTGACAATGTGAAGATGGGGACGGACGTTGAGATATTTGTCGAAAAACATTACTTTGTACGCAATTTAAAGATGTTTGTCCAATTTAATATCCACATACAAGTTAGAACCTTAAAGAATTCAGTGGCGTAGAATATTGGTAAATATCAAATAATTAGGCTAAAAAAAACCCCCACATTTCCCATCAACAGAATTTATGCTATGACCATTCGACTTTTGCAAATATGGATTAAATGGACCCATTTGATTCTGGAACCTGGATTTGGATAACATTTCAAAAACCTTTCCTTGTGTATGTGGCAAGCCAATCCTTAATACTTACTAGGATAACACTTTTATTTTGGGAGGACTACATTTTCTTTGGTTTGGAGTTGAAATATTTATTTTTCTCTTCTGCCCTCAATTTTTTCTACCAGCACAAAGAAGAGCGTATACCTTTAATATCAATACGCGAATATGTTGGGCGTGCGAACAAAGTCCCACATTAGTAGTTAAAAAGATTGAGAGACTACATGTAAGGTGTAGACTTTTTTTTAATGTTGTCTTTTAAAAAAAAACGTACAGGCTTAACCTAAAGGTACAATATCACACTATGTTAAAACTATTTACGGGCTTTATTGGAAGAGCTTTAAACAAAGCGACATGAACCATGAAAATTCGTATAGTTAACTGCGACTTATTTGGTGGAAAAAAAAAAGACATTATTTTTGGTTTGTATGTGTGAATTTAATTTCACTGGAGAGGAAAGAAAACAAGGTAGGAAATAAATTGGTTTCGTCCATATTCAAAACACTGCATCTAATTTATTTTGCATTTTAAATGGATGAGAAGTCCAACAAGGCAAAATCCGATGGCTTTTCAGTTATGACTAGGATGATAAGCTTTATCCATTCCATAATTTCCAATATTAAGTTAGAACAATTGATGAATCATCGAAGAAAGCAATCGAGGTTTGTCAATAATTAAATTTAATACGATGACATAAGTCTTACATGGCTGCTATCAATAGTAAGATTGGAAACTCATTTTTGTTTTGTTTTAAATATGCATTCTAAGGTTTGTCAATATTTAAATTTGTTTTGTTTCGATTCAAACAAGTTTTAAAGTATCGCTCAGTTTCTCAAAAGATTTAGTTCCAAGTATAATAATTTCCGGTAAAGATACAATCTTAGTTTATACTGACTCTTTAAACGATTACATTGTGGATGCTATTGCATGTATTTTTCTGTGAAGGAGAGATCCTCAATTTATAGAGGTCACAACATTTTTCTCCAAGAAAAGGATCTATATTTTTCTTTCAGGAAAAGTAAAAATAATTATAGTAATACTTTGACTTTCCTTTAAGACAAAAGTAAAATTCAAATATGATAAAAAATCAGGGTTAAAGCCTAACAGACAAGTGTTGGATAAAAATATGTTTGTATTTTACATAATTAACGATGAATAGAAATAATACAGAAGTCACTGCAATTACATGTGACAACGATTAAGTTTGTATTTTATTTATGGACATTAAACTTTTTAATTTTACGGTTAAGTTATCCGAGCTTGGGATGGACAATGTTGTGTGGAGTGGAGGCTTTACATGGCCGATCCGAACCTGCTCCAGATTGGAGTCGATTGATTTATTGTGGGATATTAAGCTGTTTCCAGTAGGACAATGAATAAAAAATCCAATGGGTGGGAAATAAAAGGGAAAAAAAATAAATCAGAAATATCCATATTTACAACTGGTAATTGAAAAATAGCTACAGTTTCAAAAGTAATCGAAATTTAGCCACTTTTTCATGCAAAGATAAAATCTGAACAAAAACACCCTTAAAAATTCGGAAATATTCCAGCATGATATGCTGGAGTTCGAATTTTTCACATACAAGATTCTAGCATAATTTGCAAGAATTTCATAATGTGCTAGAGTTCCAACATATTATGCTGGAAGTTTATACGCATGAGTTCCATAATCCAGCATATTATGCTAGAACTTTCCGTGTACCGGAGTTCCAACGTAATATGCAGGAGCTCCATAATCCAACATATTATATTGGAACTTTTCGTGTTTCAGCAAAATAATGACTATTTCTTAAATACCAATCCGAAAA